AAATTTGAGGGAATCTTTTCAAATTTAACCTAATCTGGCGTTACTGAATAAATGCATAAACTGCGAGGTTCAAGCAAGGAAATCCTCCTTTCGGGTTGAAGGGTTAGAGTAGAGTAAGTCAAATTCCTCGCCCTTAACAAAATCCAATTTCTGTGTTGTTTTACCTTCTTCATCCCTACGCATCACTCGCCGTGTATCATATTAGTTGGCTGAGTGGTCGGTGTTCTCTTTCCTCCTTCTCTCCAAGTTTCTTTCCCTCTCGCCTCCTCCTCCCTTCCCTCTTCCCTCACCTCCTTCTTCTTGCTCCTGTTTTCTCTTCTCCTCTCAGCTGGGAGGGGGGGGGGGGTCTTCAAGGCATTTCCCATATCAGTTGTCTAAAAAAGGACTGATATGTCTATTGCTTCTTAATTACTCGTAGTTGTGGTTGTCATTAACTAACTGTTAAAATCCCACCACGACTGGTGTAGATGAAAGCTTTTTCTTTTTATAATTTTTTTAGCTTTTTCGACTAAAAGAACGAGAAATAATATTGACCTCGAAATGACATCCTTATCCCACGACGGCTCGCATCCTTACAAGGGAATAGCGGTGTTGGTCAGTGTCCGCTTCCTTACTACGACTGAACATACGTCAGAAAGACACATTGTCTCGTTTTGTTCTTCGTTAGCTTGACGAATGAAAAATTTAGTGGCGCAGCTATTAACGACGCCGACTCTTGCGACGGGTCTACGCTAATATGCTCTCACAGGCAGGTGTTCACATTCAGTTATGCAATAGTTTTGCATATATAATCCGTCGACCGCGTATGATTTCGTGTGCGGGGCTGTTTGGAAATTAGCGAGCCCGCTCATTTTGACGTTGACTGCGCGAGGAAATGCTGTTGAAAGAAGCCAGTAGTTCGAAAGTAATGGAAAATGAGCAGTAATTCAACTATTTAAATTTGGTAAGACAAAATGCAATCGTAACTGAACGATAATTATAGATGGTAGTACCTACAGACTTTGCTTCAGTTAATATTTTCATTGGAAAGTTACTGCGGGGTTACCAAGTTGTCTGAAATATGTCGACCTTGTATTCTAGCCATAGTTACAGCAGGCCTTGCTCCCCTTCTGCTCTCGCGGCTCATTCGTCAGCTAAGACGCGAAGAAAATGTTATTTGTTGACACTCATCAATTTCTTGCAGCGGAGGATTTTAATCATACTCATGTATCATGTCATGTTTGATTAGCTAATACTTGATGTGAATACGTTATTCTAGTAATCATAATCATATTTTTTTCTCCATAAGAAGATTGGGATATCATTTTAGCTTAGTGGGATATTCCCTGCATAACTTCTCGGTTTCACTGAGCGACTCATCTAGAGTATCAGAATGTTTCGTGCGCCCTTCGCCAAATATCAACAACAGTCTATTGACCGTTTGAATATACACGACTCTTGAGCATGTATCTGTGCATATGCTCACATTTCCGGTGAAACGACCCGGACTATACCCCTGCCAGAATATACCCGGGGTTGGTTTAGGCTAAGCTGTTTTATACTCGGGGCTAGGCTAGGCCAGTTTATATCTCCTGGTATGAAGAGGTCTAGGCTATGTTATACCCCTTCCCTTTTGCATGTAACAAGTACATACTATATCAGCTGATGTTAATGCCGACCATGCATTGATCTCGCAGCTGTAGACATTTCTTGTTCATTGAATTTTACAGGCCATCATATGAGGCTCAAACTTGAAATATTTATTATGATTATGATGATCATTATTATAATAATAATTATTATCATCAATACGAAAATTCTAATCTGGACAGTGCCAAGTGAACATTAAAACAACTTTCAAAACCACACAGAAATGTACGCAAACATAAGTAATATATTTGTGATCTTC